GCTAGTAGTATAAAAAAAGAATGGAGAGGAGAGAATGATGAACTTGGGAAAGAATATCTCAACACTGGAAGGAGCTTGAGAAATCATCTTAAATCAGAAGATTTTTGGTAATCATAAATTTAATAAGGTCAGGTATATGATAAGACTGTTTCAAAAGCTAATGGGTTATTTCCTGCCCCCTACGCCCCCTCTCCCCAAAAAACCTTAAACCCATTGCTGTTGATTCTGATTCATGGCGACTCCATGTGTTACAGGGTAGAACTGTGTTCCATAGGGTTTTCTTTGCTGTAATCTTTACTGAAGCTGATCACCAGACCTTTCTTCCAAGGCACTACTGGGTGGTTTTGAACTGCCAACCTTTAGGTCAGTTTGAGTGCACCCAGGAACCTTAATGGATTCTTAGGCTATGGTTAGTTAAGTACAGAACTCTAATTATAGAATTCTAATATATTTCTATAACATCACAATTCCAATGTTTTTATACTAATCAAACCATACCCTGAATATTTGCCCATTTCTGTGTAAAGCAGAATATTGATAAACTAGACCACGCTCCAGATGGATGACTGGCAAGACAAGGGGTCCTATGAAGAATGGCTAAGGGAAAGGATATTTCCCACCTGGAGAGTTTGAGGGGACATAAAGTCTACCTTCAGAAATCTAAAGGTCTAGTCTGTAGAAGCAAGAGAATTGACTTATTTTGTGTTTCTTCAAGTGGGAAAACTAGGACCAAATATTGTTAGCTGTTGTTGAGTGGACCCCTGACTCATGGCAACCCCACGTGTGCAGAGTAGACCTGCTCCATAGGGTTTTCTTGGCTGTAATCTTTATGGAAGCAATTTGCCAGGCTTTTTCTTCTGTGGATCCCCTGGGCGAGTTTGAACTGCCAACCTTTGCACTACAGCAGATCGAAAACCATTTGTGCCACCCAGACTCTTTAGGACCAAATAGGAAATCATATTACTGCCCAATACAAGGAGATTTAACTAGAACAGCCCACCAATGAAATGAGTTGAGATAAAAAGTGATGACCTTCCCATTACTAGGAATAATGATCACCTCCCAGGTACTTTGTAGAAGATATCTAACATTGGCTGAAAGGCTGAGTTTATATTGCCTTTGAAGTCCTGCCAAATAATAAGATTCCATAATTCCAAATGAATATTCGTCTATAAACTGATGAATACATCGAGGCCTAGAGATGTTAAATGATCTGGCCAAGTTCACCAGCTGGTACACCCAGGACTAGAACTCACTCTTTGTGGCTTATAATCCAATGCTTTTTCCATCACAACTTGCTTCCTCTTTCATTAAGGAGAGAGGCACAAGAAAATATGGGTGCAGGAGATCAATGTAATTTTGGGAGCTATATTTCTTCTGATAACTGTATAAATGTCAGGAATACTCTGCCCTTGAGAATTTCAACAACAAAAGAGATACTAGTGATTTCATTTTCCTGGGGTGGTTTGTCTACCCTGAGGCCAATCTCTGCCCAGTCTACTCACAGTGACGGTGGCCAGCAGCCCCTCAGGCACATTGGCCACAATGATGCCAATAAGAAAAATGACAGCCTGCAGCCAGCCATAGCCCAAGAGAAGCGAAAGCACAAAGAAAGAGATCCCCAGGAAGACGGCCACCATGGTGATCAGATGGATGAAGTGCTCAATCTCAGCAGCAATGGGGGTCTTGCCAACTGCCAGGCCTGATGTCAGTGAGGCAATGCGGCCCATCACTGTGAAGTCTCCTGTAGCGATCACAATGCCCCGGGCTGTTCCTGTGGAAGAAGGGAAAAGGACGGTCACCCAAGACAAGCCAAGTCTGAATTGGGAAGGCTGTTGGGGTTGGTTCCTACAAAGAGGAAGGTGTTAATGATCAAAAACAAGGTGGAAACTCAAGGTCCTCTGAGAGGTCATTATGTTCTGTCTCTTCATATTTAGTTTATATAAATATGGGTCTCTTCTAGTCTGAAAAATCCTGGAAGAGATTTCACAGTTCTCCAGAGATACCTAATTTTGTTGCCTAATTACCTCTGCTGTCAAGAAGGCCTTCATTACACTTAATCTAAATATCTTCTTACCTATATATTTCTCTTGTTTTGCCCTTAATAACTGAATGGTTTCTAGATCCCCAGGAACTGTGGTTACCTTCCTGGTGGAGTCCTATGTTCTCATATCCCCTTATCGTCCCTCTAACCTAGTGGTTCTCATCCAGGGGTGATTTGCCTCCCTGGGGACATTTGGCAATATTTGGTTTTTGGTTGTCATAACTTGGACAGGGACGGGGTGGGGGTGGGTACTACAAACATCTGGTGGGTAGAGGGCGGAGATGCTGCTAAACATTCTGCAGTGCACAAGA